TTTTCAATCACCTTGAAGGGACCATCACCCCGAGCCATCAATTTATTTTTTCTCTTTGAAGGAAACTTTTCCTTCCTCAAATGGAGCCAAATTAGATCTCCAGGACTGAATTGTTGTGATTTACGATGCTTGTTTGCCTTTTGTTTGTGCAACTCATTAATTTTCTTAATTCTGACCTTGACCTGTTCATGGATCCTTTTCATTTCTTTAGCACGTTCTTCAGCTTCAAAACTCACTTGGGATTCTATTGGAAGAGGAATTAAGTCAATGGGAGTGAGAAGGTTTACTCCATAGTTTACCTCAAAAGAGACTTTCCCGTAGCATAAGATGGAGCTCTATTATATGCAAATTTAGCATGGGAAAGTTTAATATCCCAATCTTTAAGATTCTTACTCACCACATCTCTAAGAAGAGTTGTAAGTATTCTGTTTGTGACTTTAGTTTGCCCATCAGTTTGAGGATGATAAGTTGTGCTAAATAAGAGCTTAGTACCCAATAATTTCCACAAACACCTCTAGAAATGACTTAAGAACTTAGAATCTCAATCACTTAGAATGGTTTTTGGTACTCCGTGAAGCTTAAGAACCTCCTTGAAATAAAGATAAGCTACATGAAAAGCGTCATCTGATTTTGTACAAGGAATAAAATGAGCCATCTTTGATAAACGATCAACAACCACTATGATAACATCTTTACCTCTTTGAGTACGAGGTAATGCCACAATAAGATCCATACTTACATCCTCCCATGGATGATTTGGGACAGGTAAAGGAGTGTATAACCGTTGGTGGAATTGACTCTTTGCTTTTTGACAAATAGAGCACTTTGAAACAACATTATGAACACCTTCTACCATACTAGGCCAATGAAAATGCTCTTGCAAGATGTCAAGAGTTTTGTTGATACCAAAATGACCAGCTACTGCTCCACCATGAGCTTCCCTTTCCAAAAGATCACGCAAAGAACTTTTTGGAATACATAACTTGTTCTTTTTTAAAAGAAAGCCTTCTTGAATCATATATGAGCTTGAAATTCCATTTTTTTTTTGTCTTCAAAGAAATGAGAAAAATCTGGATCATCTTTGTAAAGATCCTTAATCAAATGGAAACCAAGAACCTTAGCTTCAACAATGGATAAGAGAAAATATCTTCTTGAAAGTGCATCAGCTACAATATTAGACTTTTCAGGTTTGTGTTTGGATACAAATGAGAAGAACTGTAGAAATTCAACCCATTTGGCATGCCTTGGATACAACTTGTGTTGCCCATTAATAAACTTAAGTGCTTGATGGTCAGAATGCAAAACAAACTGCTTAGGACGAAGATAATGACTCCAATGATCAAGAGCTCTCACAATTGCATAGAACTCTTTATCATAAGTGCTGTATTTTTGCCTTGAGCCATTAAACTTCTCACTAAAATATGCTATGGGACACTTAGATTGCACTAGGACAACCCCAATTCCAACTCCACTAACATCACATTCTATTTCAAAGAGATCATCAAAATTGGGCAATGCTAAAACTGATGCTTCCCAAAGTCTCTTCTTGATGGAATTAAAGGCATTATCAGTAGCCTTAGTCCATTCAAATGAACCTGCCTTCATGTATTCAGTGATGAGAGCTATGATGGTGCTAAAATCTTTAATAAACCTTATATACAAAGATGCAAGGCCATGGAAACTTCTTACCTCAGTTACGCTAGTTGGAATTGGCCAAGATTTCACAGCTTCAATTTTTGATTGATAAACAAAAATTCCATCATTGGAGACAATATAGCCAAGAAAAACAACACAAAGAGAGAAGAAATCACATTTTTCTAATTTTCCATAAAGTTTTTGTTGTCTCAAAATAGAAAAGACATTTTCCAAATGCTTCAAATGATCTTTATTACTCTTGGAATAAACTAAGATATCATCAAAATACACCACAACAAAATTTCCAATGAAAGGACGAAGAATTTTATTCATAAGTCTCATAAAGGTGCTTGGAGCATTAGAAAGCCCAAAGGGCATGAGTCTCCATTCATATAACCCTCATTTAGTCTTAAATGTAGTCTTTCATTCATCTCCTTCATTCATTCTAATTTGGTGATATCCACTGCGAAGATCAATCTTAGAGAAAATATTAGAACCATATAATTCATCAAGCGTATCATTAAGGCGAGGGATTGGATACCTATACTTGATGGTGATGTTGTTTATGACCCTACTATCAACACACATACGCATAGTACCATCTTTTTTAGGAACAAGTAAAGATGGAACAGAATAAGGACTCATACTTTCTCTAACAAACCCTCTAGCCATCAACTCCTCCACTTGTCTTTGTAGTTCTTTTATTTCTTTAGGATTACACCTATAGGCAGCCTTATTTGGTAATGGAGCGCTAGGTATGAGGTCAATATGATGTTCTCTTCCCCTAATTGGTGGCAAACAAGGGGGCAAGTCATTCAGAAACACATCTTGAAATTTCTCAATCAAATGTTGCACAAAGGATGTAAAGGGGCCTCAACTGTACTTATGGATGTTTCAACAACAAGCAGGGCAAAAATAGGTTTGTTTCGAAGTAATGAACGTTCAACCTCTGTTTCACTCAGATAGGAATTTTTCTCACTGGTGTTTCCCTCCCCATATAAATTCACATGATTTTCATTTGGTGGTAAAGGTGCAAGTGTGATTTTCTTTTGGTTGTCAACAAGAGAATAAGTATTTTTATGACCATCATGAACGACATGTTTATCAAATTGCCAAGGACGTCCCAACATAATATGACATGCATCCATAGGGATCACATCACACAAGATTCGGTCATATTACACATTCCCAATTGAAAGAGGAATAAGGGCTTATCGAGTTACCTTAACATCACTATTCTTGCATAGCCATTGTAGTTTGTACGAATGAGGGTGAGGAGTGGTAGGTAATTGAAGCTTCTGAATGAGTAACGTAGAAGCAACATTAGCACAACTCCCACTATCCACAATGAGATTGCATACATTTCCTTTGATGGTGCACCTTGTGTAGAGGATTTGCTCTCTTTGGCTTTTCTGTTTAGGTGCTTCTTTAGCATGGAGGACTCTTCGCAACATAAGTAGATGCTCCCATTAGTCTGCTCCTAAGATAATTTCTTCTATCTGATTTTCAAGATTTGTAAGTTGTTGGTCACACCTTATATTCTGATTTTCCTCACGAGTTCCTTACCTTGCACCTTCATCTTCCATGTAAACCGGTGCTCTTGATACCAAGTTGATACGTGATGGGTATAAGAAAAAAAGGAAAATACACTCTGCAAATAAATGAGATAGATAAGAGTCCACCACAATTGAGATTAAAGGCTAAGCCACCCTCCCAAATAATGAAGAACTCACTTGCCTCACCACTAATCTAAGGTTTGATAAAAATAACAAGATTCAAGAAAAGTTTGAGAACTTGCAACACACTTTTTCATTTATCAAATATGTCTTCTTCATTACAAAATATACCATATTTATAGGATAACTAAAAACATAAGAATACAAAGAGACATATAACTCCAAGAGTTGTATTGCTTAAGAAATAAAAATAAAAATAAATAAACTCAACTCCCAAGAGTCATGCTCCCAAGAATTGTGTCGCTTACGAAATAGAAATAACAATAACTAAACCCAACTTTCAAGAATTAATACAACTAAGAATCTCTTTATTGCACTTTAAATGCTAATTTTTTTTATCTTCCTTCGTAATTGACCCATTAAGGCAGCCAACTATTCATAAATTGACCCAAAATAACTTCTGAATCCAATTGAAACCGTGTACCTTGAAATCAAAATACGAATTTGTATATCCTAGACTTAACATTTTGACTTCTCTAATAAAATGTAACATTCTTACTTTAGTATTATAAGATAAGAGAAAAAAAATATTATACTATAAGAGAAAAAAAAATATTTTTAAATAAATAATTATGATGAAATAATATCAACACAATTATCATTTACTTTTCCAATTAACATCATCCAAATCCAAATTTTTCTAACAATTTGTTCAGTACTGAATTTTGTTAGGACAATGTTGAATTTTTGTACGACAATGTGCAATAATGGAAGTTTGCAATTAATAGAGTATCCCGAGGAGAAGAGTCAGCAAGAGCAGAACTTGTCTTTGATATTGTTACTTTTAATGTTATTACAGTTGCAACATCCTTTTCCCACGCGTTTCAAAGTGAAGTAGAATCATAAGCAGCTTCTGTCCCTGTCCATGTCCTTGTCGGTGGGGCCCAGATTCCACTTTGGTCTACCCCATTTTATGAAATCCAGCTTTGAATCATTTTCAAGTCCGTGGAGAAGAAAAACTCGAGGGAGGTAGAGGCCTGTCACCAATGACGTTATTTTTATATAAAGGGGTGTGCTGTTATTGGCATGTAGAATAGTAGAAAATCAAAGTCTCATGCGTTTTATCAAACTTTTGAGTGCAAAAGAAAAAGTGCCACCCCTCTCTCTTTTTCCAACTTTTTCTTCCTTCTTTGGATTTGGGTATCCATCTAAATCTGTTTTGAGTGAAGTTTTGCTTTAGCTACTTTCTGATGGGGTCTAAGGAATTTGTGTATGGTGAAATTATTTGATTCAATAGTCAACGGTAGTATGGTAAGCAGCATAAGGTTTTTTTGTATGTTGTTGTTCAAATGGGTATGTTAGGTTGATGAGAAAATCAAAATGGTACAGAAATTTTCTGTTTTTCATTTTTTGGGTTGTTTCTTCTAAACTTTAACATAAGTAAGGAGAGTGTAGTGATGGGGTTCTTCATTTCAAGAGTTGACTTCTGTTAATTCTCTTGATCAAATTTTTTAACAAAAGTTTTGTGATTTGGTTCTGCAGGACGTGTTCTTCTATATGAAATGCTTTGTGGCTTGATTCATAGTTTTGAGCTTTTTCTTCAAAAGCACTTTCTGAGAGTTTGGAAATCGTGAGGACTTGTGGTGATCATTGATTGTGACAGCACGGCTCTACAGATATACTTTCTCATAGTTTTCTGCTGGAGGAGACAAGCTATGGTTGTTTGCTTGCTCCTTAGTACAATAGGGCCACCGATCAAAAGAAGAGCGGGTTTGAGGATTAAACAAGCGGGTAGAGGTTCATACAGAGGAAGCTAGTTGTGTGTTTGCCTTTTGTGTTTCTTCTTTATTTTGCAAAGTCCTGAAAAAGTAGACAAGATGGAAGCCACTTCTATAACGCAGTTGTTGAAGGGCTTTTGTGATAATACACAATGGGAATATGCTTTTTTTTGGAAGCTTAGCCACCATTTTCCAATGTAAGTTCTTTGGCCATTTAGTTGCTTCTGTTTTTGTTTGTGTTCATATGCTGCGTTTTGGAAATTGAGTTGAATTCAATGGTTATTAATATGTTAAGGTAATAGTTTTCTTAATTTATAAATGAGAATTAATGATATTCCAAGTAGAATTGACCATCTTAATGATGGCTCATGTTATGTAGGTTAACAGGTTCACTTCTGTATATCTGCATTGCAATTCTTTTAGAAAGGGATGAAAATTGATTGGATTATTAGCTGAATTTTGTCTACAAGCTTCTCTATATCCTAAAAGCTTCTTTTAACATATTTCTTGTTTTTTATTAGAGACACAATTGAGAACCTCAAGATTAATATCCTTTTGGTCAAATTGGAGATTAACCGTATTAGATTGTTAAAGACTAAGCTGATGAGTGATTCATTGTCCATCTTATCATGAATCCGATTGAGAAGCTATTTCTTCCCATACTTGTAAATGGATTATTATTTTAGTGTTGCATGAGTTTATGTCATTTGTTTAGAATTAGATATCTAGTGTATAACACAAGCCTCTTTGCTTTAGGACTTTGACCTGGGAAAATGGTTACCAGAAAAGAAATGAGGCTGTTGAAAGTATTTGGGGTGACATCAATTTCAAATCTCCAGATGATGTATATTCCTCAAGCGGCGAAAGCACTGATGATTCGGGAGATTATTCAGCTCGACTACTCATGAATGAAATGTCTCATCTTAAATACTGTTTGGGAGAAGGGTAACAACTTATGCTTTATTGTTTATATAATAAATTTGTTGTTGCAAATTGTGTGCTTCTTTAATTTCCTCAAATTATTCTTGTATATTCACATCAGGATTGACCTCAAAGAAATATAAAGACCATCTGTTTTTCAATTTGAGATATCCTGAATTGATGCTTCTAGATTGAGGCCAGGACAGCATATGTTTCTAGTGGTTCTTCATGTTACTTTCTTTGTGCATTAAATGTCATAAAGTAGCACTTATCTAGGATGCTAGATTAATGAAAGTATTCTTGTGTACCAGTAAAAAAATTTATATCATGATCTACAAAGATGGTGCAATCTCAATGATTTTACATGATATCATTTTGTCAGGGTTGTTGGCAAAGTAGCTCTTGCAGAGGATCATTGTTGGGTTTTCTGTGAGGATATGCTCACCAATAAATTTGACACTGATTTAATCCCTGAGGTGAGATTCTACACACATACAATTTCCACATAGAAGTAAAATTAGTTGACCATCCTGCTTTGAAATGTTTAATAACTGCAATCTTTCCCTCCTCCAGTGTCCTGATGAGTGGCTTCTTCAATTTGCATCTGGCATCAAGGTAAACAATGTCTTGTCTTTATATATTATTTAGTTTGTACTACATGTGTAGATCTGATTTCCATCTCTAAATTCTGGATAAATTATAAATGTGTACTAATCAGTGTGCTAGTGACTAGTCAACTAAACTAAGATTAGGCTTGCCTTGCATAATATTTCAGCAAATAACGAGTGTAATTGAAGTAAATGTAAGTTGATAATTTGATTTCTTTGCACAGACTATTGTGCTGGTACCAGTTCTTCCACAAGGGGTTTTGCAATTTGGTTCATTTGAAGCGGTGCGTATATGCTTTATATTTTGATCATGACTTTGATAGGCTGTTGGGTTTTCAATCTTTGCTTTTATGTTTATTCAGATTGCATGATACTCTCTTTTCCTGTTAACATTTTAGGTTGCTGAAGACATGAAACTTGTTACCAATATCAAGGAGAAATTCCATTCCATTCATTGTATGGAAGCAAATACTACACCTTTGAACATGGGAACTGATGATCAAGATTGGTCATTCTCAGCACTAACCCATAATCTGATGCATTGCTTGGACGAATCATCTTCTATTGCAAATAGTGTATTGAAAGGTGAGGTTTCAGCTAGCACTGCACTCAATGCAAAGGGATCAACAAGGTTGAACCCAACAATGATATCATTTATTCAGGATGAGTGTAGCATGTCCGGAAAAAATCAGCAAAAATCCCTCAAAAGAGCAAATGAAAATGAGACCAGTTCCTCATCAATTGAGATGTCAATTGATCCAAGACATATTGGTCAGATGGAGACAAATGCAAATCATATGGAAGAAGAGATATGGACCATGTCTCATTCAGTCAACAATGATGGAGTGTTTGGAGAGATGTCAAATGGATTAGGCTCTTGCTTTGGTAAAAATATGACTCAACAACAATTTGGAGGCATTGAAACTTGTCATGATGATACAAATTGGAAAGACTTCTTCACTTTTCCCTCAGAGTCTGAATTGCACAAAGCACTTGGATCAGTTGCATTTGAACAGACAGGCAATTCTATGTCACATACAAACAGTAGCTCAACTTTGAATTTCAATAGAAAAGGGCATGATTATATTAAAGGTATGGAGTTTCCCAAAGAAGCTGATCCAGAAAATCTTTTGGATGCTGTTATTAGCAATTTATGCAGTGCCTCGGATGATACTTCAAGTATATCCAATTCTATTAGGTCTCCTATGATAGAGTTTACTGGATTCATTCGACCAAAAGTTAATTTTGAAGAAAGCTCTTTGATTGTGAACGCGAGAAGTGATATTATGCCTGCAGTTATGGTCAAGGGCAGAGATGAAGTTACTAACCGTTTTACATCAACATCTTTTGATGGGAATTCAAGCTTATTGTTTGATGAGGAATGGCAGGAAAAAATTGATAGTCATATGCAGCCTATTAGGGGACCAAAGCTCTCTAGCACAAGCAAGAAAAGAGCAAGAGTTGGTAATAGCCAAAACTCAAGGCCAAGAGATAGACAAATGATCATGGACAGGATGAAGGAGTTGAGGGAACTTGTCCCAGATGGTGGTAAGGTAAGTTATTATGTTTCAGGACCAAAGCTAATAGTTTGAGTTCCTTTAGTACTTTACAAAATGTTTAACTTTGGTCTCTTATGATATTCAGGGTAGCATTGACAACCTATTGGAACGGACCATAAAGCACATGATGTACTTGAGAAAGATAACAAGCCAGGCTGAGAAACTGAAACAATTTTCACATTGTGAGGTAAGGCTCATTGTGTTATCTGAGAACTTATATCCAAATGTTATCTCCTAGCCTAGGAAACTTGGTTTTGTTGTCACCTAAAACAATATGTTTTGTTTTTAGTTTTTACATACCACACAAAAGCTATATATATTTTTAGCTTTTAACCAAGATTAAGACATTTGGTAATGGGTGATATGTGTATTGATTTTATAAAATCTTCGTTAGAATTACTTCATTTAAGCTTACATTGGGCAAGTTGGTTTATAGGTTTCTGAGTGCAAAAAACAGAAAATCAATGGAGGCCATCCAGGAAGGACATGTGCATTTGACTTTGATAATGAACTAGCATTGCCCATAGTCATAGAAGATCTGGAATGTCCAGGGCACATGCTCATAAAGGTATGCTATTTTTTCTCCTTGAACACTTTTAGTTCTCAAAATTTTCCAAAGCAAATAGCATAGAAGAATTGCGTTTATTGAACTGCTTATTACTTTTGTCACAGATGATATGCAATGAGCATGGACTTTTCTTGGAAATTGCTCAGGTGATCCGAAAGCTTGACCTTACCATCTTGAAAGGGACTTTAGAAAACCATCCAAGCACCAGCTGGGCTTGTTTCATCGTTGAGGTAAAGAAACATACCTAACTTTCTTACTCTTAAGTATGATTACAGCAAAATACTAAGGTATATTTTCTTTTGACATCAATAGGTTCCAAGAGGTTTTCACAGAATGGATGTTTTATGGCATTTACTGCATCTTCCGCAGCTTAGAAGAAACCTTATCTCGTGTAAAAGCTGACCCTTCCATCCTTATATCAAGAAAATGTAACCTGTCTTCAGTTTCAAAAGGCAAAGGGCATGTTTTATCCTTGCAAGTTCTATGTATAAGGGTGACAAGTGTCTATTAGTGCAAGTGATTGTATATACACCCTCGTTAGTGTTCTTGCAGCATTCTGATGTTGATGATAAGCAAGTACCTGAAAATATAAGGGGTTTTACTGGCTGTGGACGGGTGACTAGCTACTAGCTTTGTACACATTTTTGGTGTTACGTTATAACCTTAGAGAATAGTAAGTGTTTGCCGGAGAAGTAGAGCCACATTGTAGGATATATGACTTTGTGAAAGCTATATTAATCGTGAGATGATTTTATCTCGTTCAATATTTGATTTTCGATAATGGCCAAGTCACTTGATCGAGGATTTGGATTCTTTTTATAAACCCCCAGTCACCTTTCATACAATTAAATAAATAAAAACGGAAAGGGGCGTTACTAGACCCTTTCTAGTCAATTGAGCCACAAAGTTTTTACCAGAAGGAAGATAAATTTGGGGAAAAGAGTGGGGGAAAAAAATTTAGTTACTAGATTGGTTTAATGAAGAGAAATTTGAATAATTTGCATACAATTTTGAACTTTAGTATCACCACCTTATAAAAAAGATTGGGAAAAAAAAAAGAGAAAAATGAAAATACGCTTGCGTTTAATAATATCTAGTCATATTGCTAACTTTAGTAAAAGGTTTGCAACACAAATAAAAAAATGGTCATTTCTCATTATTAGCATTCATTTACTGGTGCACAAACTTTAATAGGCGAAATAAAATCATAGAAGCTTAAAATATCAGCTCATAAATCAAATTGAAACAAAATAAATACTCCTCTTGACTGTTATTCAAGAGTTCTAATAATATATTTATATTATACTTTTTGAGACAATAAAAATGAATTTCAATGCTATTTCTTTTTTCTTTTTTTTCTTAAATTAGACCTAGCCAATCTATCATGAAAAGTAAAAAGGGATAAGATCACTTTGTGTTAATTGTTTTCTAATTTTAAATTTTCCTCTAACGCATGTAAAAAAAGAATAAATAAATCAATCATTCCAGTAACATAGATTATGCATAAAGCGGAAAATTACAACCATAATTTAACAGTGTCACATCCGTTATTGAATTTGTCTGTACCAAAAACCGAAAACACTTTTCTCGCATCTCCTAGTTAATGCCAAGCTACAATCTAGAAATGAAAAGCTTGGGAAAGGGAAGGCTAGCACAAATCGGTGAAGGAAAGAGAAGGATGAAAAATACAAACCAAGAAACATGTTGGGTGATTTTGGACATATCTACATTCCACTAATGAAATGTCGACTAGTCAGTAACCTATCAAAACTGTGCGACAACCTTGATGATAATGGACAAATTTAGTCAAACGGGTTTCTCGACCGCCAGCAGTGTATGCCACCAACCACAGGCAACATTTCTTGGTCTGCAATCCGCGATAGAAACTTGACAAGGGATATTCCTGTCAATAGAATCTCCCAAACCAAGCTGTGCAGGTAGATAATCATCAGAAATAAACTCTGACACCAATTAAGAAATAATTTGTAACTTAATTCAGTAATTGAGAATACCTGGCCATATTTGTTCCATCCCCAAGTAAATAGGTGACCGTCATCTTTAATATGAAAAAAAAGTAAACATTTATAGTAAGAACGAGTGAAATATTTAGGATGAGACTAAGTAAACATTTGCAGTTAATGATGCAATTGGTAATGAGCAAACTTCAGTTTTCTGAGAATCTATATAACTACTTTTTCTAGTCCACAAATAACAACGGTTTTCCATCAAACAAAAAATTCTGGTCAAGATCTCAAAGAATGCTAGATACTATTTAGGATGAGACTAAGCAGCGTCGTGATGTGCATAGACAATCATAATTGAAATGGGCATGAAATTAGCATAGCCAATATAATGATTCTTGACACAAATCTCTCGTAATTCTTTTAATTCGAATAAGCCATAGCGTCATCAATGTACATCCGATAAGATTGATTCTTGAAATTCCCCTTCAGCATATGTAATGGAGACATACCTGTTAGCAAAGCACTATGACGAGCTCCACAAGAAACTATACTAGCATGCTTATTCTCGAAAAGGGAAGCATCCAACTGTCTTGGTGAAGTCTGAATGCGGAGAAATTAATGAGTTGTTAAGACGGAAAAATAAGTAGTTTCAGCTAATTTGGAACACAGCTGTTGATAATTGCTACATACGCATAATTAGCCTTAAAGTTAACAAGCTAAAAAATGATAAATAAGGAAATTTTTGGGAAAACTTGAAACACGTTAGGTTGCCAAGGGAATTCTCAGTATATGATTTTCTTTTTATTTATGTTAGAATTCCATCATCTTAACGGTATGCCATGAGAAGGCATAGCACTTATCATGCTAAATTTAAGGATGGATAAGGTTGGAATTTATCTGTCTTGACTTATCAAAATATTTGATTATGCCAAGGCTTGCAAGGTGCTAAGGAGCTTGCTTTCATTGATGTCGTTGTATAGCTATGGCCATGGGAGCATAATTTACATAGCGATATTTTTCTTAAATTTTCACGGGGAACAAATTAAGTATATTGACTTGAATAATTAATTATCCATGGGTGATAATTCTTATGATATATGTTTTAAGATCCTCTTGTCTTTAATGGATGATAGTTGATCAAGTCATTTGGAAAAGGGCTATGAGGCAAGGGTGATACCATGGAAAACTCTGCAAGAGATGGTAGAGATGACTATCCTATGGATATTTAGGAATTGGAAGGCTCTCAGCTCCGTGTGGTTTCAGAGCTTATATCAGAACTTACTGATGAAGGCAGCCTAGTGAAGGCTGTAGGGGAAAACCTTTCGGTCTTTTCCAGAGAAGGTAAGAATGGTAATGATATTATATGAAGGTGAGTAAGACAGAAACAGAACTCCAATCATAGAAAACCCAGAAACTGATAATAGCCAACCTATTACCTTCAGTCTTCTCTCACTTCCTAAACACTTCCCTTCAAAAATCTCTTTTAAAATAGAGAATCTTACAGAATATTGCTATGTCCTTGAAGATGCCAAAATACTGGAAACAATACCACCTATGCTCAATCCTTACATCTTTAAGCTGCAAAGATTTGTGATGAAAAATATTTCTAGGTTGATCTCCATTAGGAGACCCACTATGAAAGAATATGTCCAATCTTCCAAGACCAGTATGTACTTCAAGCTACATCCAAAGAGAAATATGTAGACTTGGAGGCTTCCACAGAGCTTATCAACACAGAGCTTATCAACCACAAGAAAATAAAAGGATATAATGCACTTCATTTTGGTGCAATCAGACTAATCCTTTCACTCCATAGAAGGAAAGGTCTTCCAGTTACTACTCGTGTTTCAATACTAAACTGATCACCAAACATCCTATTGGGATAAAAAATTTCCTTGAATGCATTGTTTGGACCAAGATCATTGGAACTAAACTATCAAAGAAAGATATTCTCATTGGCATTGATGTCTATTTTGCTGCTCATAGACTCCATATTCTCCCTTATGACATACAGTTCAAGAGAGATTTCAAATCCTATTCAAAGACTGAGATTGTATGCACTCTATGAAGCATCACCTGATCTTGACTAAATCAAACAAAGACTGAAGCGTCTTTGTGCTAACAATCATGAAGGATTTTCTCATCCTAATCCTTTATGAAAAAATGAAGAGTTGTTCATCCAACTTCTCTTTAAGTTGAATGAAGATATCAATCCTATAAAGGAGATTCATCCAGGAATGTCTCCTTCATATCTTCACCTTGCTAGAAAGAATGCTAAGAATTCTTGAGACAAGGTTTGATTGAATCAACTAAATCTCAATGGGCATGTAAAGCTTTCTAAGCAGAAAAAAGATAAAAAAAAACTTCAAGGCAAAAAGAGGTTAGTAATTGATTACAAGTCACTCAGCCATTTCTTGCAAGATAATAAATTGCCTATCCCAAAAGCCTCGGCACTTCCAGCACTTCCAGTATTTCTTCTGATCAACTTCTTCAATGAGAACAACACCCCAAAAATGATCACTAGCATCAGTTAGGAGGATTCTTTTACCTGCTCTTGGGATCTTTGTGCTCTAAACTGCTTTGGTCTGATCAGGACTCCAAGCAGGAGGATTCTTCAGCAGCTTGGAAAATTGGGTGGTATGCTTGGCAGCATGAAGAATGAAATCTCTGATGTAATTGAGAATTTTGAGGAATTGCTTAATTTGCTTGACTGTATGATTATCATCAGGGAACTTGAGAAGTTCTTCAGCAATGTGTGGCTAAGATTGATACATTCCTTGAGAGAAATGCATGCCCAGAAAATCAATTTCTGATTAAGCTAAGCAAATCTTCTTATCAGCTAGCATAATTCCATGCTTTTGAACTATTTCAGCAAATTGATCAAGCAACTTTTTATGAGACTCCATATCTTTTGAGAATAACAAAATGTCATCAATGTAAATGAGTATACTCTACAAGATAGGATCAAATACTCTAGTCATCACCTTTTGGAACAGTGAAGGAGCAACTTTGAGACCAAATGAAAGTACCTTCCATTGATATTGTGCATTTGGAAAATGAATGCAGTTTTGTATCGATCAGCAAGATCAATTCCAAATTGCCAAAATCCAGATTTGAGATCAAACTTGGAAAATATGTGAGCATATTTGATTAGGACTAGGAGTGATGAGGCCTTTGGAATATGAAACTTATCATCTTGCAGGAATTGGTTGAGTAGCTTGTAATCAATTACCAATCTCTTTTTTCCTCGAAGTTATTGATCTTTTCTCTACATAGGAAGCTTGGCATGTCAATTGAGATTTAGTTGGTTCAATCAAACCTTGTCTCAAGAGTTCTTAGCATTCTTTTCTAGCAAGGTGGAGATATGAAGGAGTCATTCCTGGATGATTCGTCTTCGTAGGATTGATATCTTCATTCGGCTTAAAGGAAAGCTGGATGAAAAACTTTTCATTTTTCCATAAAGGATTAGGATGAGAAAATCCTTCATAATTGTCATCGTTGATGCACGGACACGCTCTTTAAAAAAAAAAAAAAAACCTCTGACACGTGTCGACATCAACACATTCTGACACGCGTCCAACATGCAATCAACATTTCCTGACACCCGGTCAACGCTCCGACACGCAATCAACGTTTTTAGACACGCGGTCAACGTTTTCCGACACTTTCTTTTTATAAATATCCAAAATTTATTTTATTTAATCTTTTTAACTAAACATGAAAAATTAATTTATATATCAAATATTTTCTGTTATGAAATATGACCTGAAAAATTAAAAGGCATAAAAATTTA